CATCATCAAAATTTAATATTGGGGAATAAAACTGTCCGCTTTTTTTTTTGTTTTTTTTTTATTTTGTTATTGTTGGTTTTTTGTACTTTTTATAAAATAAAACTCAGGTTCAAGATATTCAGCAGACAAAACTGATAGTTTAATCTCCAGAGCATCATATAATCTTGTCATAGTCTTAAAATGAAATAAACAACCTAGTTGATGACTAATGACAATAATGTTAATGATTTAATATCTTAGTTTCTGACGGTCTAAGAGACTTTTTTTTGTCTGTGTAAAAGGTACAAGTACAATACAATTCAAAATGCAAAACAAATTTGATGTTTTTGTAATATTTTTGTAAAATTTGTGATGAAAAATTGATACAGATACAGAGTGGATATGCATAAAACTGATGAGAAGAAATTCGACTAGTTATTCGTTATCTGAAATAGTAAAAGTCTACTATGTAACGTCAACCCCTTTAGAGAAAAAAGGATTCGAAATAAATGAGTATTTGGTCGCTAAAACCTATTAGATGACTGTTTTCTTCGTCTATTAATCAGAAAATGTTGGGTAAATTAAATTCCTTTGTATATTTCACCTGTTATCGAACTTGAAGCCTCTGTTCATTTTGTTTTATTCGTATATTTTAAAATCCTTGATTTATTAACTAAGATAGAAAAATGATAAATATAATACGAAAGTCAAGAAGCAGAAGCAGAGATGGTATGATTTGGTAACGGTTTATCTGTATAACGTGATCTTATATTTTCCCAATAACGTTTTCGAATTGGATCAATATGTAATGCAAGTTTTTCACATAATTCAATTAATCTATTACATTCTGATTGTTTCTTTCCTTCTTCTTGACATTTTAAATCGATTAATTCAATCATATACGCATAGAGAAATCGACATTCATTTTGTTGATATTCATCATACATCTGCTGACAAAATTGTTCAATTTTTCCATCATCATTTATTGTTCGTAATCTTGCTATACCACGTAAATAATTCCATGAACTTTCATTATCAGGATAAGAACGTATTTTATTCATAACATAATCTAATTCTTTTAGAATTATATCATCAGTAAAACCTGTTGTTTGTGATATAACAAAATAACGTTGATTCCATGCTGAATTATTTTTAATATCATCAATTATCATATTATTAACAAAATCTAATTCTGTTGACCATAAATTAAATGTTTTTAATAACCATTGTCGATATTGCCATGGATGATAATTTTTTGAATCAAGACGAAGTAAATCACTAGTAAAACGTAATTCATTATTATATATTTGAGATTTTTCAACAATAAGACGACGATGTTCCCAAACCTAATAAAAAAAAAGAAATAGAATTAACGAAAAATTTAAATTTATTTAAATTTTACTATCGAACATTTACTTGATAATTTTTTTGATGTTCTCTAATTAATTGTCCAATAAAAATAAGTTCTTCATTTAAATCACTATTTAAATGAAATAATAATTTTCGTCTATAACACCATACTGTATAATTAGCTGGATTTAATTGACATGCATCTTTTGTTAATTCTAAGGCACGTTGACTCATTTCATCTTTTTGCATACAAGCACGAATATAATCAAATGTTTCAGAAAATTTTTCTGTATAAGCAATACGAACAACCGAATATGGTCCATCATTTTGTTTCAACGGCTCAATATCTGACCATTCTGGACGTTGTGAATACGGAATATAATTGACATTACTATCTTCTGGATCTGTTTCAGAATCCGACATCTAAAAATGAAATATAGTCGTTTTTATTTGTTTTTATGTTCATAAACTAAACATTATCATGACTTCAATTGTCTCTATTGTGATTCTATAGAGCAAAAACGCTCGATTAAGTATACAGATGATCAATAATTTATATAAAAATAGTTTGGTAAAAAAAAATTCCTAGAAATCAAATATGATCAAATTATTGCTTCTAAAACTAGTTAGTAGACCATTGTAGGGATATTACAAACTTGAGACCTTGCATCAAAGATCACATGTTTTCATCACTCAAAACTAGAGTCCTGCGGGTTTAAGACTTTTTGAATCCATCCTGAACCATTCTGTTTTATTTATTTAGAATTGTCTCGTATCTCCCCTATATCAAACTAGAAGAATCGGGATTGGAAGCAAACCTGATCGCGAACCCGAAAAAAAGCTTTCGGAATTGGGATCGGGTTAAAGCCGCAGGACTCTACTCAAAACCCTCAAGCTCTACCGAGCTTTTGTTTCAGACGTAACCAGTTTTCTGTGCTGTATCAAAAACTAGTGTTAGGACTGGTCAGAATTAATAAAAAAAAAGTATCGGGTTTGGTAAAACTTGTTAAAAAATACAGATAAAGGTCAATTTTCACCAAGCTTGACCAAACCTGGTACTTTTTTTATTGATTTTGACCAGCCCTAGCACTAATTTCGGATACAGCACAGAAAACTGGTTACGTCTGAAACAAATGCTTGGTACAGTAGAATTTGGGAGATTTTGAGTGATGAAAACATGCAATCTTTGATGCAAGATCTCAAGGCTTGTAGCATCCTTAGATTACTGTACACAATCAAATGATTCGTATCAGTATTTTTATATCATATTTCTCTATCAATTACTATTCAATTAGTCAGATACTTTATATAATTGATAATGAACATATTTCATTTTAATTTTAATTTTCTGTTTTCAAATTTATTATATACAATGGATATCTTAATAAATAGTCACATTAACAACTAAACAAAAGACATGTGTGAAGAAAATAAAGCAAAGAATAAAAAAACACATATTATAAAGTTTAATTAGATGCAGAGCAGTTATACAAAAAAGAAAAATTACTGTTTTCATATTTTAGTAACAAATAGAAAAGATTCCCATAAAGTAGGCACGTGTAAAGTAATAACAAATAGATGAAGAGAAAGGCCCACAGGTTTCTTCATTTTTCTTTTATTTCTTATCAACTTGTGTACATTGAGATTAAGTAAGAAATTCAAAAAAAAAAATGTACTTATGTTTAAATAATCGAATTTAACATATTTATCTTGTTTTTTGTGTAGTTCAGTTATAGAAAAGAAATAGCTAAAAAAATATTTAATGCAAATAAAAAGCAAAAATGCATATATTGAATCGTAAAAATATAAAAATATAAAAGTATAGTGTACTATTTTCTTTAAACAGAAGGAAAATTTTTTTGAACGCTTTATAAGCTACCATAGCTATTTTACACGAATCAAACGATAAGTTGTTGATTGGTAGAAAAAATTCAACTTGAAAAAAACTACATTAACTCTTTTTAATTAGTCACTCGTTCTCAGCTATGTTCTTCTTTCTTTTTTTTTAACTACTAAATGCATATTTATTTTTAAAAAGAAAAAATATAGAAGAAAATTTATTAGACAATAATCGTCCAAAAAAATTTTTCTATTAAAATTGAGAACACATATTATCATTATTCAAATGGATCTATTATCTTTTAAACTCGTGTATCAAGTGTATTTGGATGCCATGAATTTGCATAACCAAATGGATAATAAGTATCAAGAACAATTTTTTCTGAATTAAATTTTCTGGATATATTATTATTATTATTATTATTTATTATTGATGATTGTTGTATTCTTTTATGTTTAATTTTTTCTAGTCTTACTTGTTCTTGTAATGAATAAAATTCATCTAATAATTGATCTTGAATAAAATGTTCATCATATTCTTTTAAACGTAATAATTCATAACGACAATAACATTTTGTCCAGAAAACAATATTAAATAGACGCCAATCAACAATGAGATCATTTAAAAATATTTGTGGTGATTCAATAGTTTCAAAATCGAATAATGATGTTTCAGAGGAATTATTATTTGTTTGTATACGTGTATGAGATGCTAATGATAATGTAGAACCATTTATTATCGATGATGTTTCAAGAGTAAATGTATTTGTTAAAGGTTGTTGTATTGGTGATGATTCGAGATAATAAACACGTCGACTATTTCCTGGAACAGTTTGTTCAATATTACTTGTACTAGATATTGATTTTCTATGTTGTCTATTTGGTTGATAATTTGTAGAAGTTGATTGAGGATAATAGACTATAGATGTCGTAGATGGAACAATAAAATCAGATGATTTTGACGGTAGTAAAGAAGATGAAAATATTGATGATTCATTTCGAAGTGATCGACATATATCAGGATATAAATATAATGAAAAATCAAATGTTGATAATAATAATAAATGATTTGGACAATTTTTCATTGCATCAAGTCGTTCACCAACATTATTAAATACAAATGTATGATGATAACAATAACAAACACTACGATACAATTCAATAAGTAAATCATCTGTAAATTCAAATAAAAATGGATTTTGAACAATTAACTGATATACACAATCGAGAAATAAAAGAAATAATGGTGACTAAACAAAGAGAAGAACATATTTTCAATGTAAATTGAAGAAAAAAAAGAAGTTATTTTTACTTCTTGTGATGAATGAGATGAATTATCATATGAACTATATCCAAATCGTTCACAAAAACGATGTCCACGTATTATCCATTCTTTCACAATTAATTCACAAAAACCTTTAATTGTACGACATTTTGGACGTAGTAAAATTTGTATGAGTGATGACATTAAACAACTGCTATCACAATCACTACCTAAATAATAAAATAATAGAAAAAAAAACAAAATATATATTTATAAAAATAAATGATCATACCAGCTAATTCAATATGTTTTTGATCTAAGATTTTGGCTAATAATGAAGCACCATGCAAAGTTTTTGAAACATATTTTGACCATTTACTTGTATTTAACTTTGATAACCATTTTTCATCATCATCTTCTAAAATAAAAGTAATAAATTTTGAGTTTATTCATCTAGGATAATAATTTGATGTTACCAGCAGGTATCAAGGATATTTCTAATAATTTTTCATAACTTGCTTGTAAACGTTTTAAATTACATGGAAATTTAGATAAATTGTAGCGTTGAAATTCCTGTGAAATTTCGGATGATGAGTCTTGATATTGATGAGATGAATAATTTAATGTAGTTAAACGAGAATCGGTTGTTATTCGACGTAAACTAAATAAAAATAGATAAAATAAAATAAAAATAATTCAATAAAAATTAATTATATCTAGCGTACAAGAAGCACGAGAAAAAAAATATATTTAATCTACTCAGGTACAAAAAACTTAGGAAACGTGATGTATTAAAAACGGATTAGATTAAAAATGATTTTATTTTTTCAGACATTAGTGAAAGATTTTTTTTCTTCTTTTAAATGTTTTTTTAAAATTTAATTATATATTGCATTTGAAATAAAGTTACCCTTTTTTTTTTTACTAACGCACGATTATTAATTATTTCGAAAAATTGTCAATATTCCAAGCGTACAAATTATTCACATTCCTAACCCGATATTGACTAACTGTCATTAGTTGTTACATATAAGCACATTTATCGTCGTTAAATGAGACATGCATATAGCTTCACAGCATCATTACTCTTTTATGTGTGTATGTGTGTGTGTGTGTATTGTGCGTGCAATTGCTAAAAGCATGCTTGTTTATTTATTTTATATATTTCTATTTTACCCTGAAATAGGTGACTTTGGTGTTGCTACTTTTTTTGCACCAAGATCTTGAGATATCACATTGGGTCGTAAGTTTTTTTGATTATTTTTTTTCGGTAATAAAAATGATTTTAATGTATAACTAGTAGTTTGATTCTGAGTCTGATTATTATTCATATAAATATTTTTAATAGTGTAATCGTAACTGTGGAGAGAAGAAGAAAAAAAAAGAAAATAGACAAAAAGTGATCCAACAGAGAATAAATTTATTATTATTATTATTTTTTTTATCATTATTTTATTATTTTTAATTTTAATAAAACAAGATCACTTACGGATCTTTTCCTTCTGGTTCTGGTGCAATATCAGGTACAGTAACTAACATGCATTGTTTAGAATAATTGTACTCTGATAATGTAGAAGTATGCGTCCAATGCCAAATCTAAAATAGACAAAATTATTGTTTCAACATTAATTCTAAAATGAACGTTCATAGTAAAAATGATAGTAATGCTATTTTGTTTTGAGTTTGAAACTGAATTCTTATATAGATATATTGATATCATTATTCTAGCATAGTTAAAATATTTGAAAAAACCCTTTTTGTATGATCTAGACAAATGTGCGAACGAATGAGTAAATGCTGTTTTAACAACTATGGAAGATTACTATCTAAACAGTTAGTAGAAAAAAATGAATTCGATTAATTTTACCAAATTTCGTGTTCCATCTCGTCGATCAAGTCGAACAAATGGTCCAACTCTGAATAGAAAATAAAATTAATTTATAATACGATTAATATTAATATATTTTCTTACTCTGTCGCAATACTTCGATTATCAAATTTATCACTATCAACAACCCATTGTTTTTCATTTGCTTCGCGTAATTCAGCTTTCCAATCTGAGTATGTCAGATAACTCTTAATACGTTCATCTTCACTTAAATGAAAATCTAAAATACAAATAATATTCCTATTTATTCATCGATAGCATCTACATTTTTAACGAAAAGAAACAGTGTAGAGAGGGTAAAAAGTTTTATAAAAACTCTAATTGTAATACGATCATTCAAGAAGGATTCAAAACTCCGTCTATAACATTGTTCCTAAACTCGAAGTGGCCTCTATTAGGGAGATGAAATCGGCTAGATAAGTCTTGTCAATAACCATCTGTTTGACAGAACAAGTTACCTGATTCTTCCGCGGAATTTGATCGTTTTGGAGAAGAATTATGTTCAAGATTTGAAACATCATATTTTTTTTTCATGTTCATTGTATTTTGGTTCAGTGCTATATATGGATACAATTTATTTTTGTCGTGAAATTTACTATGAGATTTTAGTGCATCAATATACTAAAATAAAATATTGATTTTTATTGTTTGCTGTGATGAAAAAGATATTTTTACAGTTTCCATTGCTGTAGTCGATAAATGTTTCGACACATGATTATTCATCTTTGTAACCAAATATTTTGTAAATGTAATCATTCTAAAATCCTAAAATAAGACACAACAGAATGATTTATCACAAAAGATATCCATTAACTTACCCTTGTTATGACTGTAAAACTTCTTGTTTCAGACTTGATTTGATCTTCGTTCAAAAATGATCGAAAACCAGTACGAGCATCAACAGCTAAAAAAAAACTAATTTCTTTTATTGAACATCGACTTTGGAAAATTACTTACGAGAAACATTAATTTTAAATATTGACGTTAATGGTATATCATATTCTCCAATAAATTTGTTTCCATAAGAAAACTGAAATTAGTAAAAGTCAAGTTTATCATGTTTAATGTGATGCGTTCTTTTATTATACATTATTTGTATTTGTTATAACAGCGTTATCTGGAGCAAATACAAGACGGAATGTTGTTAAATACAATGTACCGGATAATTTATTAAACGTATTTTCAGTATAATCAACATTTCGAACATGTTCATTGAGCGGAGTCTCTTGTGGAAGTAATTTTCGAATAATTTTCACTAACTAGAATAAACAAAATAAATAATACTAGAGATAGATTTTAACTGTAATTGTACACATCTATTTACTTCGTGAGAAACATTGGGTAATGTTTCCTTCGTGTTTTGATCATATTCAGGGATGTTCATGGCTCCGTCACCATATGAAGATGATGCATGATTTTTATTATTCAAACGAGAACCAACACTATTTCTTCTAAACGTCATTATTTCGGTTATAATGAAACATTTCCAGCTAAAAAATAACCATAGTCACATTTACATAACATGTTGGATGATTAATTGAAAACAGTTATAGTAGAGAAGTATGACCCATTGTCGGCTGTATACTAAATTATTATGAGAAACAAAGATAACGAATAGCACTATTCAATGTATCGCAGAACGAAGGTAAGGAGAATAGAATTAGTAATTGTGGTATTAGCGTTCTTTACTTCATATCGTAGTTTGACCGGTGTTTTTAATGAGATTTTATCCTTGAGTACTGAGTGCACATGTACACTTTCGTTTTACTCCGAGAGTATAACAATACACTGCGCTTTTAGCACGAGTAGTTTACAGTAAGTAGTGAGAACTTTTTGATGTATCCTTCCTCTTCTATCACATAGTTTTCAAGATATAAAACTCGAAACAGTGAAAAATGGATAATTCTTTCAGAGCCGTTTCATATAAAGAATTAAGATTGATAGGACCGGAACCAATATAACATTTAACACTGCACCGACTTATTTGCAGAGTCCTCTTGCTTCAGCTAATTTGTTAACTAGAACAGAAAAAAGCCTCGCAGCATGAATAGTCTAGCTTTCGCTTCAAGTTTTTGGGTTATTTGGTCAACTCATTCCACTTAAGGGATCTGTTCTATGTAAACTGATTTTGTAAGATATACATATATGAAACACTTCTAATTTCAATTGTGAAAAAAAAAACATTTCTAGTGGAACGGATTGCATTTTGAAGAAGACACATATCAATCTCGATTTTAGAAGAAAATTTTGTTTTCGAGTGAAGAAAAAAGAGCCCTCGTATCCCGGTGGCTTTACCACTAGCCGTTTACAGAGCTAAGACTAAGACTGTTTTATTCACGAAAAGTGAGAGTCATCAAAGGTCACCGATCTGTAATAACAATGACTCAAGCCAAACAACATCAAAAGAGTCATAAAAAAGAACATATTGATTCTCTGAATCAGATATCTTCGCGAACAAGTCAAAAAACCATATAAGAATCCGAAGACTGGACAGCCCCCAAAACTATGGTGCATATACGGGCCGCGCGATTTACTAAGAAAAAAATGGCCTGTGACTATCTACTTTTCAGAGCAGAAATACCTCATCTATTATTATCAGTTTGATTTGCTTTTCTTAGGCTGACAGAGACTGTGTTGTAAAACAAAATACACATTTAAATCCCAAAATGTACACAGTAGACTTTAGTTGTTTATTTCAGCAAAGTGTAAAATAAATGTATTTGAAATTGTCAAAGTTCGGATATACCTTGTTATTAAAGCATTGGTTCAAAGAAGCGTAAGCACGAAAAACATTTTTCGGACATAACCGAGATTTATGGACGGACAGAAGGACACTGTAAAAATAAGGTAAAATCATCAAAATGGTACAGTAAACATGTAACAATATTATGTTTTATTTGATTAAAATTGCAGTACTGACACTTAGCCGTAACATATCGGTTGGGATAGTAAATATAAGAAAAGATGAATCATCAGCTCATTTCGGTGTTTACAGATTTGATAAAGCTCGTCCAACCGATCTTTAATAGTAAGTCACCATCGAGATTTGCTTCGCTGATGGATCAGCCTGTGATTCGGCACCAATAAGAACCAATGACATTCGATGGACAGCATACAATGTATAATGAGATACAATATGGTACTATACTATATAATAGGATGAAATTAGAGTGAATTTTATTTTTGTCATTCCCCTCATTTTTTGAAATAGGTACATGTACCTCTATTACATAATTGCAGTTAGAACTTTCCACACATTTACCCTTAACTTTGTTCAGTTTAAGCTCGAGACTTTTAATAACGAAACAAAGTGAACATAGACTTTGAAATCGATTTTACACAATAAAATACTCCATAAAACTAAACACAAAGAACAAGGTATGTAAGAAACATTTATGAATATTCATTATTTCTGTTTTGTTGTGTTTCTTATAGATCTGCGCAATTAACTTTTATGGATGGATATTCATAGTCCAAAGCATTTGTCGATATAAACTGGTAATATCGAGCAAGTTAAACGTGTAAAACAATGGTTTTAGTATTGAAGAAACACGTTAAACAAAGCTCTGAATAAAAAATAGAATAAAAGAAAACAAAAATGTTCATCAAGTGATGAATGATGATGATACTGATTTCAAAAGAAGATATCAAACAAATGCTAATAATTATTTTAACAACAATTCAGGTAAATGTTATTCATTAGTGCGGCTATCAATTACTGGTCACTTATCCTCTATAACTTTTCTCTTTCATAATTGATTGAGAGTCTGATAAGACGACCAAATAAAAATAAATGTCATGGGCATCATTGCTTGACAAGGTAGGATTCATTGAAAGATTACCATGATTTCCTGTATAACAAGCAGACAAGCGAAAACATAATAGTCTTATAGCTGAAGCTGTAAGCAATCCTCTTTATTATCTTAGACAGTAACAAAGAAAATGCATTTCTTTGTTTTATTTAGGACAGTCCTGCGACATAGTAAGTGGTACCGGAAGGTATAGGGTATTGAAACATTAACTACTATGTTTTTCAAACATAACGAATCAAAAAACGTATGTTACTATCGTAAAAGAAGCAAAAGAAAGAAACATGTATGGACTGACTGCTGACAATATTGACCATATTTTCATTTGAAATGATCATCGATCAAAAATGAAAAAAGTATCGTTAGTTTATGACTTGAAAATTTGCAGAAAATTGTTCACGATCTCGAGGTTGATCAAAATTGTTGTTTACATTTACTGAACCATTAAAGCTAATTACAATTATCGAAGTATCACTCGCAACAATGATAAATACAACTACTAATACAAACGGATTAAATGATAACTGTAATACATCACAACAGTCAACACACGCTGGTAAAATACATTTGACAAGTTGATATGAATGAAAACTAAACATTTTTTTCAGCGTGTGGGAACCGTATGATCCTGAAAAGAAATGTTTTAATGAACCTTTAAAAAATAGATTCTGTGTGAAATAAATGATTATTTGAATGATAGGCATAAATTTAATAACTTGTTTGTTATACTTTTATAGCAATTTCATTGTTTTTTATTGTATATATGATTATTTTACTTTGTTTTGAAACTAATTTTTGTCAAAAAAAATTCAAATGAAATTTGACTTTTATAAAAACGAATTTATTAATGGCAGATACTACACTACAAGTACTGATTTAATAAATACTATCTAATGATTATAGTATTTTACTTAAAAGAAAAGCTTTTAACAGTTAATGGTAATACCTAAAATAATGTTCCAGATATGCTTCTATATATATTGTACTTATTCTCAATCTAGAAAAACTCGTATCACTTTATTTCAAAGGACGAGAACTCTTAAGAGAGTAAATCAACCCACTAAGATTTTATTGCATTCAACGGTTTAGTTTTGCAGAAAATGATTGTTTATTCTATAATCGGGTGTTTCGAGCTTAACAAACTAATGCAACCAAAAAAATATTCACACTTCAATCCATCACGTTTAGCAATTTGGCTACAGCTTTTTAAAAATCATGCGAAAGAGCATAAGATCTGAACAACATGAACTGGTTTTCTGTCCTTAGAACATCAGAAGTCATGTAAGAAAAATTGTAAAATTAAAATTATTCACGTTCAAAAAATCAAACTTACACCGTACTAAAAGCATGTCTAAGCGAAATAAGTGTTATATTTCTAATCTCCACGCAAAACTGCATCAGAAAATGTTGTTCGCAGCTACTCACAAATATCTTCACAAAAAAACCATAGATGACTTCGAGTGCAAGTTTTGCGAAAAATTAAAGTATTCGTACGCGGTTGAGTTTACGTTGTGCAGTTCTTTATGCTCTTTCGAATGAAGACATTGTTTGGAAAAACCTAAGTTAAACTGGCATCACAGTAGCCGTAATTCTGAAAAGGTCGCATTTCCTATAAGATAGTATGAATCAGTAAAGTCTATTTTTTAGGTAACACAGAATTGTAGCTCTGAAGAGAGACTATCTATTGGTATACTGAATTTGCTGCAACCTAATCTCTATTATACCAAAAAATTGAAAATACAGGTTTCTACTCATTTCTGAAGAGAAAGGTCAGCCCGAAAAAGGTCTTGTAAACGAACAACAATCAACGTACTAAATATTGATCAAATTATTTTTTAAGGAGTTTTTGTTTATCTATTCAACCATGGTATTAAAAAATCCTGGGCTCTGGTAGAAAAAAATTGTAGCCAAATTGCTAAACGTGACGGATTGAAGTGTGAATATTTTTTTGGTTGCATTAGTTTGTTAAGCTCGAAACACCCGATTATAGAATAAACAATCATTTTCTGCAAAACTAAACCGTTGAATGCAATAAAATCTTAGTGGGTTGATTTACTCTCTTATGAGCTCTCGTCCTTTCTCGTAATAACGAGAGTGGTACTAGTAATACTTTTTTATACTAGAAACTAATAATCTTGAAAAATGGAATATTTTTGATGGCTGATAGTTCGCTATATGCTCTTGGGTCTGTAATATGGAAAGCAATGATGCCAACTAGATTCCGTCTTCTGTGTTTGCATTGTTTGTCGTTGTACCTAATTTCAATTATGTTAAAGATATAGCTTTATTTCTACATACAGCGTACGTCCTTCAATTTTTGTATCTTTATGTTAGAGTGATGTGTGAGTTTTACATGAACTTTATTATGTTTTTGATAAAATAATCTTTAGTTAAATAGAATTCATTTTGTTTCGTTCTGTGCAGTTACATCACTAATATATATCAAGTCAGTTTTCTTCAGACGATTATTTTTATCTTAGACGTTTTGTTTATATTTTTATCTTTTTCACAGAAAGAGACAGACAATGATTTTTATTAAAATTATTGTCTTATTGATATCATTTATTTTAATATATAAACTAAATTTTTTGGTGTGTATGAACAATAAGATGTTGCCATCAGATTCACTACCAATTGTTGTAAATACATGGCCATTTGTCAATGCTACACGAAATGCATTTAATAAAATGCAAAATCAAGGTGGTACATGTGTTGACGGGGTTGAAGTTGGATGTCGAACATGTGAAGATGAACAATGTGACGGTAGTGTTGGCTGGGGTGGACATCCAGATGAATCATCTGAAACAACGTTAGATTCTCTAATAATAGATGCCAAAACGATGAGCGTGGGTGCAGTGGCCAAGTGAGTTTACATTGTTGTATCAGAGTATTATTTATAAGATATTTTCTTTATTTAGTCTTCATCGAATTAAAAATGCTGTTGGTGTTGCTCGTGCAGTGATGAATTACACTAGGCATTCCATATTAGTGGGTGAAAGTGCAACAAAATTTGCGCTTGATATGGGATTTGAACAAACTGATTTACATAGTAATCAATCAATCGAACAATGGAAAAACTGGTTAGATAATCTCAGTTGTCAGCCAAATTTCCGTCGAAATGTTTCACCTGATCCCTCAAAATCTTGTGGTCCTTACACACCAGACAAGTTTGGAACAACATCATTTGATAGTAAATTTAACTGGTGTCCTAGATTTAATTGATTCTTCTTAATAAACTTTTTATTATTTAGTTGAAACTAAAAAACGTCCGATTAAAGAGCATGATACAATCGGTATGATTGCATTGGATTCTAATGGCAATTTGGCTGCAGCTACTTCAACAAATGGTTTACAATTTAGAATACCCGGACGCGTTAGTGATTCGGCATTAATTGGTTCGGGCGCATTTGCTGACAATGAAGTTGGTGGAGCTTGTGCTACCGGTGATGGTGATGTAATGCAACGATTTGTGCCAAGTTATAATACGGTTGAAGCAATGCGGCGGGGATCTTCTCCCGAAGAAGCAGCTTTAGACTCTATTAAACGTATAGCGAAATTTTATCCAAATTTTACTGGTGCTGTACTAGCACTTGATCGTAATGGTAGACATGGTGCTGCTTGTAACGGAATGGATAAATTTCCTTATTCAGTTATGCAGAATGGCTGGACAGATCCACAGATTTTTGAAATTCCGTGTTTGAAATAATTTTATATTTTTGTTGTTTCTGTGTGAATATAATACACGTATATAAAATGATAGATTTCATATTATTTGTTATTTTTAAAATCAATGTTTTATTTCCAGTGTATTCTTAGAGAGAAAAACGAGCAGAGAATCTATAGATCCCTTCCCAACGGTAATTTTACTAATTCTATATTCTGTTAGCGCGGGGGGAACTCAGTTTTTTTGAAACTGACTAAATAAATTATTCTACTTATTAATACAATGTTATTATCATATTTTTCGATATAATGTACTTAATTTAATAATATTGACTATTTGTAGGACTGTTTGCTGATTCCATGTCCAAAATATTTATTCCTTGAATAGAAGTAAATATATCAAACTTAATCGACTTACCTGTATTCATTGTGATTTTTCTTTTTGATAAAAACGTAAAGCCAGTACCAAAGGCAAGTAATCAGCCACATTCTTGTGAATATATGACGGTGGATAAGAAATATTAACTAGTCTATCTCAGGAGATACGTACGTGAATAATTATCATCTGAGCTATTCTAGTTATATTTCAGCGTATTCGTATAAAGCCCAATATAAGACAAAAATATAAAGGGTTAGAACCACAATTTAATTGTTTTATTTCATTTTCACGTCTATTTTTCTAAAATTAATTTAGACTAATTTTTAAGTTTCAATATAAGTGGCGATCATATTTAAATTGATCGTCTGTTATGTGACGATAGTCTTATCCTATTTAGTACATTATGATTAAAATCCTATTTAGGGTGTTTCAGTAGGGTACTAAAATTGAGTAAAACTTAAAATCCTATTATGATTAAAATCCTATTTAGTACATTATGAGTTAAAACTTTTAGTTTCACTTTTATCATTTGAGGGTGAGGGTAGATACGAATACGCTGAAATACAACTAGAATAGCTCAAATGATAATTATTCACGTACGTATCTCCTGAGATAGACGCATCGTTAATATTTCTTATCCACCGCCATATATTCACAAGAATGTGGCTGATAATGTAAGAAATAAATAACGTTTTGCTTTTGTCTGTTTTTCGTACGAGTGCTTGTTGGTTTTTGATTTTTTGGTTAAATGAGCGAATGACTGATAATTGTGGAGGTTCAGAGAACGAATTACTGTAATATGAACGACAGAGTTTGGTACCGTCATTGATAAACGTTTGTGCGATATGTGATCGTAACGATAGATGATTTTTGCAGCAAATCTCTTTAGATTTTTGTATCATATCAGCTTTATCTTGAAATTTCGACAATGTATTTCGTTATCCATACGTTGTGCTCCAATCCTATAATTAATGGGAACAAATTTTGGTCCTAAGCAAAGAAAACTTACTTCAAGTTCGTCCAAATATAATGCCTGATTCCGGACGTTTGGTGGATATGAGGTATTGATTAGAATAGATTCGGTGGTGCGAATCGATCGAGGATTGTTGATACATCCAACAATTCTTCTTCTTTTGTCATCGATTCGCGAACATCTTTTAAAACCTGTATTTTATTATCAGCAAAAATTTGTGCTCTTGTTGGATATGTATCTATGAACGATTTAAGCTGCACTAACATGGCGGATACACAGTGGGCATTTTTTGCTAGAGCAGGCGGACTTTAGCTTTATGAGTGAACTAAAATTTCATGAACCATTTTTTTATAGGTTTTTCATGATCCTCTTTCTA